GAGTGAGTGATACAAGATTGGGTGACTACCTGCTGCGCTGAAGATACCGCTACGGCACGCGTGCGCGCGCGCGCGCGCGAGAGAGAGAGAGAGAGAGAGAGAGAGAGAGAGAGAGAGATGAGCAATACAAGATTGGCTGTTACGTACCTGTGAAGTTGCTGTGCAGACCCACGAAGGAGGAAGAAAGCGGCCATAGCCGCGGAGCTGTAGTACGGAGTGACGAAGGAGGCCCACGCTCACGTGCAGAGTAGGAACCCGGGGTGGCACTTCCACTACACCTTATACCAAGGAAGAGGAGGAGAAGATGGCCGCCATTCTGAGGGAAAGGAAAGAGAAAAAAGAGGCCAAGAAAAAGGCTCTACAGGAGGAGCAGGCGGCAAAGTTGAAAAAGATAGAGGAGGAGATGGCCAAAGAGAAACAGAGGTTGAAGAAAGAAGAAGAAGCGAAATTGAAGGAGGTGGAAGAAGAAGAGGAGGAAGATGATCAGCCACTGGAAAGGAGAAGAGAGCAGCGAGGGCAGTACAGTGGCAGCAAGAGTGAGGAGATGGAGAAGAGGATCTCAAAATGGGTCGCCAACTTATCCTTGGGGGAAGAAGAAGAGGTAGCCATGTACATCCCCAAGGATGAGCAAGAAGCCGCTATGAAGGAGTGGGAAGCAGAAGAAGATGTTCTGAAGCGGCAGGCGATGGAGGATGAAAAGAGGATGGAGTGGAAACTTAGAATGATGAGGGAGAAGAAGAAGAGGGTGGACGCGGCGAGTGAAGCGGTTAAGGATCTAGAGGAGGTGCAAAAACTGACTCTACGATTGACCCCTCAGGTAGACCTCCAACAAAAGGTAGAGATCATTGCCCAGAGTGTTGAGCGTTTGGCCCGAGTGAAGGAACAACAATATGAGTTTAGTCGATGTCAGGATATGGCCGTGCGCTCGATGCGAATGGGATTTCGGGACTTTGCTCGCGAACTGGTAGGCGCAGTAGGAGCCGAGGTGAACCATCGCCTCGAGAAGACTGAACGCTTCTGTGTCGGCGCCATTGAAGGCGTCAAGGCGGCAGCTCCCAAGGAGGAGGAGGCACGTCCCCGTAGGGAGCCAGTCAAAGTCAAGTTCCCTGATTCCTACAGTGGAAAAATGGAAGAAAACTTTGACAATTGGGAGGCCAACGTCAAGACCTATGTGCATCTGCAATAGGTCTCCCCAGATCAGCACGTGTTGATTGCGATTCACGCGCTTAGAGATGAAGCCGCCAGTTTGGCGAGGTCCCTCCTCCGCGCTGCCAACTGCAATGAAGATGCAGTTGCGTACTCCACATTCACCCCCCTCATTGAGTTTACGAAATTGCTGCGCGAGCGGTTCGCTGATGTTGCTCGTAGTGTTAAAGCCTCTGATAGGCTGCAAACTATCCATTCCCGTCGGTGGAAGAGCGCGAGGGCACTCAAAAGCACCATGGATGAGTTAGTGGTTGTTCCTGACCACGGGGTCACAGAGCCCCAATTGGTCAACCTCTTCTACCGGGCTATGCCCGAAACGCTTAGAGGGCACTTCTTCGCGAAGAGCCAAGACCCTGCTATCACGTATGATGCGCTTAGCAGGGAAGTGGTGGCGTTTGAAGCAAAGTCTGTGTCAGTTTCCACTTTCAGGCACAAAGACTTAGACAAGGGAAAGAAGTGGAAGGGTCGCACTATCTCAGGGCAAGTTAAGACTAAGGATAGTCTTGTCCTGACCTTAGACGAAGGTAGTGTCGACGAGATCCCCTACGAACATATTGAGTGGGGGTTAGCGGAGGAGGACAGCGGTGTGAGCCAGGGGAGAACTTACGTTGCTGTCGCGGCTGGAGGGAGGCCGCAAGGAGGAGGACGAGGCCAGGGCCAAGGGGGCCGGGCCTCAGGGAGCCGGTTTCAGGGCAATCAGGGGGTTGGCGGCAGAGGAGGAAACCGCCAAGCGGGAGGAAGGGGTCAAGGTCCCCCGCAAAACCGTCCTAGGAATAGGTCTCCCTATAGGGTAGGTGGATGGCACTCAGGGCTACCGCAGGGTAGGCCTTGGGAAAGTTTGGGTTTGGACCAGGGCTTATGGCAACAGCGTCTGGACCGACGCCAGTGCATTTACTGCGGTGACCCGGGCCATATCATTAAATATTGTCCTAAGTATAGAGAGACCCGGACGACTGCTCAAGGGCCAAAAGGCAGCGGCCGGTAGGGGTAGCAACTGCCCCTACCATTAGGCCATGTGGGGAACATAGCGCTAGCCGGCAAGAGACTCCCACACCACATGTGCCTATGGCAGAGGTTGCAGGCCRRTGTCTAGATCGCTGTCCAGAGACTGCTTGTGTTAGAGTCTCTCTAGACACCTCCCTCACAGGCGTGGCTGAAGAATTGAAGGAGAGGATGCCCGCCTGGGCCAAGATGAAGAAGGAGAATAAACGGCAACTTGTATTTGTAGATACAGAGATTTTTAGAGGTAGAGTAGGGGCCCTAGTAGACTCAGGGGCCACCCGCAGCTATATTAGTAAGAAAGCGCTGCAAAAATTGAAGCTGGGACTTAAAGTCCAAAAACTAACAGACCCCATAGTTAGTATCCTCGCAGACAATCGTACCATGGTTGTAGAGGATTACGTAGAGGGAGTCCAGGCGTATTTCTGCCTAGAGAAGGATGGGAAAGTGGAGAAGGTCCTCCACTCCCTGACTCTCCTCGTAAAAAACAGCCTCCCGTTTGATATCGTTCTGGGAATGGATTGGGGAGAGGCAACAGGGGCCACACTCCATTTAAAGGAGCACGAGAAGCTGCTGCCTTAGTGCTCCTGCGTTAGCAAGATTAGTGAAAAAGGAGCAACTGGAGGAACAAGTCTTTGTTGCCTACGTTAGGCCAGTTACTGAGCCTACGGAAGAGAAGCCTATAGACCCTGCAATTGCCAAGCTGTTGGAGGAGTTCAAAGATTTAACTGAGACGCCGATAGGAGTAGTGTCGCGACCTATCCAGCATCGCATCGAAATTGAGCCTGGCAGTAGGACTCCCAAAGGAGCTGTGTATCGAATGTCCCCGCGGGAGTTAGAGGAGCTTCACAAATAGTTGGACGAGCTCCTTGAGAAGGGTTGGATTAGGCCCAGTTGGAGCACATGTCCTCTTTGTCCCCAAGAAGGAGGGAGAGCTGAGGATGTGTATAGACTACAGGGGTCTGAATGCTATTACAGTAAAGAATGTTGAGCCACTGCCTAGGATAGACGATCTCTTAGATCGAGTGCAGGGGGCAAAGTACTTCTCCAAGATAGATTTGAAGTCTGGATATCATCTGATAGAGGTGCATCCTGATGATCAGTATAAGACAGCCTTCCGGATGCGCCAGTGACATTCCAGCGCTGTATGAACGATTTGTTTTGGCCATGGTTAGATAGATTTGTTGTTGCCTACTTAGATGATATTTTAGTGTTTAGTAAGACCCTCCAAGAACATCAAGGTCATCTCAGGCAGGTCTTGGAGAAGCTGAGGGAAGCTAACTTCAAGATCAATGCAAAGAAGTGCCATTGGGCGAAGACCCAAGTCTTATATCTAGGCCACGTCTTAGACCGAGACGGTGTTAAACCAGAAGATTGTAAAACCGCAGCGATTAGAGATTGGCCCACGCCACGTACGCTGACAGAGTTGCGGTCGTTTTTGGGCTTAGCAAACTACTATAGGAAGTTCACGAGGAACTTCTCCACTATCGTTGCGCCCCTTCGCAGATTGTTGAGGAAAGAAACCATCTGGAAGTGGGATAAGGATTGCACATCTGCTATGAAGAAGCTGAAGCAGGCACTAATAGAATATCCAGTCCTTAAGGTGGCCGATCCGTGCCCTTTGTCGTCACTACGGATGCCAGCCAGTACGGTATAGGTGCGGTGTTGCAGCAAGACGATGGCAATGGTTATAGACCCGTAGAATTCATGTCCGCTAGGATCCCTTCAGAAAAGGTTGCGACATCTACCTATGAGAGGGAACTCTACGCTCTCAGGCAAGCATTAGAACACTGGAATCATTACTTGCTTGGGAGGCACTTCAAAGTCTATTCTAACCACGAGACATTGCGATGGTTAAAGACGCAGGCCAAAGATGACACCTAAGCTTACTAGGTGGGCCGCAGAAATAGATCAATATGACTTTGAGCTCAAGCCGGTCAAAGGGAAGTATAACGTAGTTGCGGACGCGCTGAGTAGGAGAGCTGATTACTTTGGGGCCATAGTCCATTATCTAGATATAGGGTCCGACCTACAACAGAAAGTTAAAGAGGCGTACGCGCAGGACCCCAACTATAGTGAGCTCCTCCTTAAGAGAGTTAAGGAAGCCCCAGAGTCCGAGCCATATTACCGCACTACTGATGGGTTGTTGTTTGAGAAGACTAATGTAGCAGACCGTTTGTGTGTCCCCAACAGTGAAGAGATCCGGAGTCTGATCTTGGGGGAATGTCACGACACCGAAGGACACTTTGGTTGGCAGAAGACCTTAGCCAACCTGATGCACGCGTAAACCTGGCCAGGAATGAAAAATGACTGCATAGAGTATGTTCGCAGTTGCAAGGTCTGCCAGAGGAATAAGTCAACTATGCGTGCCCCATTAGGTCTTCTCAGACCTTTACCTATCCCTGATCAGTCGGGAGATTCAGTGTCCATTGATTTCATGGATACCGGCGTTAAGAGTAGGCATGGCAAGAGCCAAGTTATGGTCGTGGTAGACAGATTTAGTAAGTATGCTATTTTTGTTCCCTTGTCGTCAGAAGCCAGAACAAAATTAGTAATTCAGAAGTTCTTTGATCACTGGGTCAGTGAACACAGGGTTCCGCTATCTATAGTTAGCGATAGAGATACCCGGTTCACAAGTCTAAACTGGCAGGATTTGATGCGAGTCTACGGATCCAAGTTGTTGATGTCATCTGGCCGTCGCCCAGAGATGAACGGTCAAACTGAACAGATAAACAAGATCCTGCAGCAAGTCTTGCGCATGAACATTAGACCTGATCAAGTCAATTGGGATGAGATGCTTCCCAAGGTAGCCAGCGCATACAACAACAACCTGCACCTGTCAACCTGCCGCACTCCCAATGAGCTCCATAAGTCCTTTAGACCACGAAGACCATTTGAGGGACTTAACCGGGATCAGATTCACAGGCTACCGCCCGGTACGAGGGAGTTAGCGATTCAGCACGAGAAAGAGATAGCAACTGTTGTTGAGAATCTCAGGAAGGCCCAACACCGCATGATCGAACAGGCGAACAAGCACCGTCGCCCTTCACAGTTTCAAGTAGGCGACTTGGTCTGGGTCCAGTCTAAAGAATTTGCGCCTGAAGAAAACATTTCGCAGAAGTTACTGCCTACGTATAGAGGACCGTGGCCGGTTCTGCAAGTCAAGGGTGGCGAAGATGGACCGTCCTATACCATAGAAATCCCAGCACACCTCCACACTTAGCTAGTTTTCCATGCCTCGAAGTTGTTACCTTGTCAAACAAGTGATCAGTTTCCATCCCGTAGGTCTATGATTCCACCAGATATGGATGGAAGGTATGACATCGATGGCATAGCGGCTGAAGATGTATTATGAACTGGAGGTAGAGGTCGTCCACAGTAACAGTACAAGGTTCATTTTGCTAATCAAGAGCCGAAAGACGACCGTTGGTTTACGAGAACCGAACTTTTAGAGACAACTCCCGATATAGTCCGGACCTACGAGAGACAACAGAAAGGTAAAGGCCCTGCCTTGGACTGAGATTTTCTCGGAGGACCTCGAATTTAGGCTGGCGGGAGTGAAACGGTATTCACCTGTTCGCAGTAGCTGATGCAGATCCCAGGGCTCGATCCCTAGTTCCCCACCTTACCTGTGTACAGTACCTGTGTCAACCCGTAGATTTGAACCTGTGACCTGTAGGACCGCCAGTGGTAGGTAGGGTCTCGGAGGTTACATGGTATAGGGGATTCGAACTGTAGATCTGTCGGGTAGGAGTCTAGACAGTCCAGAGGTCGTAGCTGTAGACTGTCCGAAGGGTCAAAGTTGTAGCTGCTACTACCTGAAAGGGCAGAGTCGTAGCTGCTACAATACCGAAAGGCCAAGCAGTTAGTTCTAGAAGTGGCCTTTTGGAGTCAGCCCCAGTTTAGGTAGAGGCCAGTGGGCAAGTGGTGGAACTCCACCACGCAGAGTCAGCAGTCCCAATCCAGTCAGGCCGGTCCAGTCAAGCAAGTACCGTCTGGGACTGTGTACACCGGGGGGCCAGGGAAACAGGCAAGACCAACGAGGCGCAAAAGTATAAATCAAGAGGCTGCGCCCAGCCATTCATTCATTCCTGCGGAAGCCATGCGGAAGCGCTGCCTCAGCATCTTGTGCGAGGAGGTCTGCAGTGTGCCTGAAGTCCAAGTGGGCAGAGAAGCGTAGTATAGCCATAGGGTAGTGGCAGCTAGCGCTGCCATAGCTGTAGTAGTGTGTGTGTGTATTGTGTGAGTGTGCAGGGTGTCGTGTGTGGGATATCCAGGGTGATCCAGTGTGTGAACAGTGGATGTTGGGTGCTCAGTCGCTATAGCCAGTGGAAGTGAACTTACCTAGAAGCCATATCTCTGTGTACGGTGTGGGCGCATGTCGCCAGTTTGTTGTGCTGCTGTTCACGTGCATGAAAAGTGTGAAAGAGTCGAGTCTGATTGCAATTCAGTCCCCACCATTGCCAGCCTCGGCAATAGATCAGATACACATCTTTGATTGTCTGTGCAATCAGACTCATCCCCATTCACACTTTTCATGCATGTAAACAGTAGCGCAGCAAACTGGCGACATTCGCCCACTCAAAACTCAGAGATATTGCATCCAGATACGATTTCACTTTCAACTGGCTATGGCGACTCAGCGCCCAAACAACTCACTGTTCACATACACCGGATCACCCTGGATATCCCACACGCGTCACTCTGAACACTCACACATACACACACACTTCACACTAAACTACAGCTATAGCAGCTATGGCTATCTCTACCCTATCGCTATGCTACGCTCCTTCTCTCTCGCCCACTTCAGCTACGGGCTCTCTGCAGACCTCCTTGCACAAGTCGCTGTGGCAGCGCTTCCGCATGGCTCACGCAGGAATGAATGGATGGTTGGGCGCTGCCTCTTGATTTATACTTCTGAAACTCGGTGGTCGGCCCCTTTCCATCGGCCCATCGTGCTCACATTTCCTCGTGGTACTTGCTTGACCGGACTGGGATTGACTGGACCTTACCGCTGACTGACTGTGGACTCACTGCTAACCTACCGTAGTCGTACTGCAATTGCACTGCAATTTAGTCCACCACTTGACTCGCCACTTGCCCACTTGCCCACTTGCTGACCTTCTAGAAGGACTACAACTAGGCTTCTGGAACTCGCTAAGACTCCTACTCTATAGATCTACAGATCAAACCCCTGCTTCAAATGGGACCCTACGACCGACTACTAACTGTTACAAATACGCAGGCTGTGGGTTCAAGCCTTGGGGCCGACACAGATACTGTACATCGGTAGGGTGAGGGCTAGGGATCGAACCCTGGGGTCTGCATCTGCTACTGCAAAAGGTGAAAACCGTTTCACTCCCGCTGTCCTAAATTCGAGGTCCTCCGAGAATATTTCAGTCCAAGGCAGGACCTTTACCCTTCTTATCACGCTCATAGGCTCTGACTATGTCGGGAGCTCTTTCTAGAAGTTTTGTCCTTGTAAACCAGCGGTCGTCTTCCGGTTCCTGATAAGCAAATCGGACCTTATACTGTTTCTCGGGACGACCTCTACCTCCTGTTCTGAACACATCCTCATCTACAATGTCGTCAATGTCATAGCTTCCGTCCATATCCGGGGGGATCATGGATCTTCTTGAAGGGAACTGTTGACTTCTGACACACGGCAACAACTTTGAAGCATGGAACATAGGGTATGTGTGGAGGTGTGCTGGTATCTCTATAGTGTAGGACGGTCCATCTTCTCCGCCCTTGACTTCTAGAACCGGCCACGGTCCTCTATATGCAGGCAACAATTTCTGCGAGATGTGCTCCTCAGGTGCAAATTCTTTGGACTTGACCCAGACTAAGTCGCCTACCTAGAACTAAGACGGGCGACGATGCTTGTTTGCCTGTTCTATCATTCTGTGCTGGGCCTTCCTGAGGTTTTCAACAACTTTGCTAGTTCTTTCTCGTGCTGTACTGCGAACTCCCTAGTACCGGGCGGTAGTCTGTGAATCTGATCCCGATTCAGTCCTTCGAATGGTCTGCGTGGTCTAAAGGACTTGTGCAGCTCATTTGGAGTGTGGCAGGTGGATAGATGCACGTTGTTGTTGTATGCACTAGCTACCTTAGGCAACATCTCATTCCAGTTGATTTGATCAGGTCTAATAACATGCGCAGAACTTGCTGTAGGATCTTGTTCATCTGTTATGTCTGACCGTTGGTCTCTGGACGACGGCCAGATGACATTAATAACTTGGATCCGTAAACTCGCATGAGTTCTTGCCAGTTCTGGCTGGTGAAACGACTATCTCTATCGCTAACGATTGACAATGGGATTCCATTCTCACTAACCCAATGATCAAAAAAATTCTGAATAACTAATTCGGTACGTGCCTCTACAGGCAAAGGAACAAAAACGTCATACTTGCTAAAACGGTCAACTATGACCATGACTTGGCACTTGCCATGCCTACTCTTGACCCGAGTATCCATGAAGTCTATGGACACGGAATCTCCAAGCTGATCAGGAATAGGCAAAGGTCTGAGAAGACCTAGAGGGGGCGCGTAGTAGTCTTATTTCTCTGGCACACTTTACAACTGCGAACATTCTCAATGCAGTCATTCTTCATCCCTGGCCAGGTGTACGCACGCATCAGATTGGCTAATGTCTTCTGCCAACCGAAGTGTCCCTCTGTGTTATGGCATTCCCCTAGGATCAGACTGGGAATTTCCTCACTATTGGGAACACATAGGCGGTCGAATACATCCGTCTTCTCAAACAGCAATCCTTCTGTAGTGCGGTAATGTGGTTCGGTCCCTGAGGCTTCCTTAACTCTCTTGAGGAGGTCACTATAGATAGGGTCCTGCGCATACGCTTGCCTTACTTTCTCCTGCAGGTCTCTCCCTATATCCAAATAGTGTACTATGGCTCCAAAGATGTCTGATCGCCTACTCAGAGCATCCGCAACTACGTTGTACTTGCCCTTCATTGGCTTAAGCTCAAAGTCAGACTAGTCTATCTCAGCGGCCCACCTAGTTAACTTGGGTGTCATCTAGGCCTGGGTCTTTAACCATCTAAGTGTTTCATGGTCAAAATACACTTTGAAGTGCCTCCCATGTAGATAATGCTTCCAGTGCTCTAGAGCCTGCCTGAGAGCGTAGAGTTCTCTCTCATACGTCGAGGTGGCTACCTTCTCTGAGGGCATCCTCGCTGACATGAACTCTACGGGTCTATAACCATTGCAGTCGTCTTGCTGCAACACGACGCCTATACCATACTGATTCGCGTTCGTGGTGACGACAAATGGCAAGGACGGATCAGCTACTTTGAGGACAGGATACTCTATTAATGTGCGCTTTAATCTCTTTAGCGCAGACGTACACTCTTTATCCCATTGCCAGATTGCCTCTTTCTTTAGCAACCTGCGCAAGGGAGCGGCAATAGTAGAAAAGTTCCTTACGAACTTTCTACAGTAGTTAGCTAGGCCTAGGAATGACTGCAACTTTGTCAATGTGCGGGGCGTCGGCCAATCTCTAATCACCGCTATCTTACTGTCCTCTGGCTTAATGCCATCTCCGTCTAGTACATGGCCCAAGTACAGGACTTGTGTCTTGGCCCACTCGCACTTCTTCGCGTTGATCTTGAAGTTTGACTCTCTCAACTTCTCCAAGACGTGCCTCCGATGACCCTGATGCTCCTGGAGGGTCTTGCTGAAAACTAAGATGTCATCTAAATAAACTACCACAAACTTGTCTAACCATGGTCTAAACAAATCATTCATACAACACTGAAAGGTGGCTGGCGTGTTGGTTAGTCCAAAGGGCATCACGATGAACTCATAGTGCCATTATCTAGTCCGGAACGCAGTCTTGTATTGGTCATCAGGATGGACTTCTATCTGATGATAACCGGACTTTAGTCTATCTTTGAGAAATACTTGCAACCCTGCACTCGATCTAAGAGATCATCTATCCTGGGCAGTGGTTCAACATTCTTTACAGTGATCGCATTCAAACCCCTATAGTCTATACACATACGAAGCTCTCCTTTCTTTTTGGGGACAAATAAAACTGGTGCTCCAAAAGGAGACGAACTGGGCCTGATCCAACCTTTCTCAAGGAGCTCGTCTAACTGCTCGCGCAACTCCTCTAACTCTCTAGGGGACATCCTATAGACTGCTCCCTTAGGAGTTCTACTGCCAGGCTCTACCTCTATCCTGTGCTGGATGGGTCGCGACACTACTCCTGTCGGCGACTCAGTCAAGTCTTTAAACTCCTCCAGCAGCTTGGCAATGGTTGGATCTGTGGAAGTCACCTCTTCCTTAGCCTCAGTGGCAGGKCTAACATAAACTACAAAGACTTGTTCCTCTAATCGCTCCTTCTTCACTAACCGCGCGAACGCGGGAGCACTGGGACAGCAATGTGCCAAGGTGTTGTCTGCACCTGACACATGAAACAGGCGGGTATCCTTAACCTCGCATGACGGGCTAGGGAGCCTACACTCATGCTCTCTCAAATGGAGTGTGACCCCTGCTGCCTCTCCCCAATCCATTCCTAACACAACATCAAAAGGAAGGTCATCCTGTACGAGGAGAGTCAGGGAATGGAGAACCTTCTCCACTTTCCCATCCTTTTCTAGGCGAAAGTACGCCTGGACTCCCTCTACATAGTCCTCAACACGCATTGTGCGGTTGTCTACGAGGACACTGACTATGGGGTCTACCAACTTTTGGACTTTCAATCCTAGCCTCAACTTCTTCAGCGCTCTACGACTAATATAACTGCGGGTGGCCCCTGAATCTATAAGGGCCCCTACTCTACATCTAAACACCTCTACGTCTACTAAGATCAGCTGTCCCTTACTCTCCTTCTTCATTTTGGCCCAGGATGGCATCCTCTCCTTTAGCTCTTTTGCCACACCTGTGAGGGACGTGCCTAGAGAGACGCTAACACAAGCACTCTCTAGACAGCTAACTGGGCACGGGCCTGCAACCTCTGCCATAGGCTCATGCGGTTTGGGAGTTTCCTGTCCGCGCGCGCTCGCTTCCCCACATCCCTGAAGTAGGGGCAGTTGCAACCCCTACTGGCGGCTGCCTTTTGACTGCTGAGCAGCCCATCGGGCTTGTCTGTATTGTGGATAAAATTTAATTACGTGGGTCGGGTCACCACAAAACATGCACTGACCCGGGTTCACGCGTTCCTGCCATACGCGCTGGTCCAAGCCCAAATCCTCCCAGGGCCTGCCCTGTGGCAAGCCTGGGTGCCATCCTCCTTGAGGTGCTCTTCCACCTCTTCGCTGCGGGGACCGACAAGAACCTTGGCGATTTGGTGTGGGACCTTGACCCCTACCTCCCACTTGGCGGTTCCCTTGTCCGCCAACCCCCTATGCGCCCGGTCCTCGGCCTCCCATGGCCTGGCCCCTTTGGCCCTGGCCTCCTCCGCTACTTTGAGGCCTCCCTCCAGCCGCGACAGCAGCATAGGACCTCCCCTGCCCCACGCTACTGTCCTCCTCCTCTAGGCCCCACTCAATCTGACTGTATGGGAACTCGTTTGTACCACCTTCCTCTAAGGTAAGGATCATGTGATCCTCGGCCCTCACCTGGCCTGAGATGGTACGGCCTTTCCACCTTTTTCCCTTATGTCCTTATGCCAGAAAGTGGTAACTGGCATGGACTTTGACTCATACAGAACCACTTCCCTACTCAACGCATCATAAGTGATGCCGGTCTGTTGAGACTTGTCAAAGAAATGCCCACGCAGGGCCTCTCGCCTGGCACGATAAAACAACTGGACCAGTTGGGTCTCAGTAACCCCATGGTCTGGGACGGCTACCAAGTCGTCCATAACGCCCTTGAGTGCTCTCGCACTCCTCCACTGTCGCGAGTGGATCGTCTGTAACTTGTCAGAGGCTTTAACGCCTCGCTAGGTCAAGGAATCTCTCCCTCAGGACTTTGAAGAATTGAGGAAGGGTGGTGACCTTGGAATATGCAACCATGTTGTTTTCACAACCGGTTGCGCGCGCAAGGGACCTGGCAAAACTAGCCACTTCATCTTAGGGCCTGGAAAGCTACGAGGACTTGCTCTTCTGTCAGGATGTGCTGAAGGTACACAAGTATTGACACTGGCCTCCCAATTGTCAAAGTTCTCCTCCTTCTTCCCCCGGTATGCGTCTGGGAACTTAAGCTTTACGGGCTCTTTACGGGGTCTGGCCTTGCCGTCTACCGCGGCTATCGCTTTAGCACTTTCAATGGCACCTTCGCAAAACTTTCCCACGTTGTCCCTTAGTTGCCTGACTTCGCCCCCAATACGGGTGACCATATCGCGCGCAAAGTCCCTAAACCCCGACCGCATGGCACTCAAGGCTACCTCTTGACTCCAACTGGCTTGGCGCTCCTCCATCCAAGCCGTGCTCAGCACCTCCAAGTATCCCAACACCTTATCCTATTTGGCCTTGTCGTCTGCCTGGGCCTGCACTTCTTTCCTACAATCTTGCACCTTCGCCACCTCTGCAGTCAGTCTATTGACTTTCTCCCTCCTCCTCTTCTTCTCCCTCTTCATTCTCAATTTCCATGCCAACTTCTGCTCCTCCTCCCTTTCTCGCCGTTCCACAGGGTCCTTCATTGCTGCTAGCTCCCTGGCTAGCGCATCTCTCTCCTCCTGACGCACATAAGATCCCGCCTCCTCGTCTTCTCCCAACGATAAATTAGCGACCCACTCGCTTATCTTTTTCTCCATCACTGCGTCTTTATCCTTTTTCGTGCCACTGCTCCCTTCTCTACTTTCAATCTGCATTCTCTCTTTTTCTTCCACTGCTGCCGCTTCTTCCTCAGCAATCTTTCTCCTCTCTTCCTCCTCCTGTTGAACACTCTTCATCTCCTCCTCCAACCTCTTCATCTTAGCCACCTGCTCCTCTGCGATAGCCTTTAGCTTCAGCTGCTTCTGGAGCTCTTTCCTCTCTTTGTTCTCTTTCACTAAGGCGGCCATTTTCTCCTGCTGTTCCTAAGTGTAGGGGCTAGTGCTCAACCCACTCCGGGTGTCAACCATGGTGACAAGTGTACAACCGGATTAGTGGTTCCAAACCTCACCACGTAGACTCTAACCCCTAACTGACAGACCTACAGACTCAACCTAAGACTCACAGAATCCGGACAGGGATCCTGCCAACTAGGGTCTCTAGCCTGGACCTAACTATAGCTGTCACTACTAGACCTTTGCTGATCAGGAGGCATTTAAGGAGATCCCCCATAACTCCTCAGGAATTATTTAACGTCGCAGACAGGACGACGCGATCAGCAGGTCTCTCAAGACTTAGACAGTCTGTTGTACAGCCCACAACTTGGATTTTGGGCCTACCGTGCCACACCGAGCGGCCCGCCGGTCAATACTGGTCCTTGGGAGGGTTTGTGTCCTCCGGGACAGTCGAGTCGTCAGACACAACTTTTAGCCCTACTCAGCCCTTGCGCGTTTGGTCAACAAGACCCTATCCTTCATCCACAGAGTACTATCACGTAGGACAGAAGAAACTCGATGAAGAAAGAATAAACAGACAGACTGGACTCAGCAAGTACCAAGGGGTGTGTGCACATCCATAGGGCGAGGGGTAGGCTGAAGGCTTGGCGAGATTTTACCGGCTCCAGCTTGGTCAAAGTCTTGGTCAACGCC